GGGGGGGAAAGATCGCAGAAAGATGGAGCCAGGAGTAGCAGTAAAAAGAGTTAGAAGTAAGGGAGGGATGAGCACAGAGGAGTTGTAGGTTGGGGGTAGAAAGTGATGAAAGCTGATGACCGAACAAGACTAGAGAACAGGAGGGGAGGTGAAACGAGAAAAATTTTGAGAAGTAGATTTTTTTATTGCTCTCAGTTTTTTTACCTGGGACCTTTTGAATAAGAAAACACCTTGCCTCTACTCTAGACCACGAGAGCCCCCTGGCTGACCATACGTGACTTGGTTTTCTCTTGGATATGAATGTGAAGATCAGCATTGAGTGGACACTGATGAGAATTTAGCCTTCTTCCCTGTCTTACATTTGAGGTAAAATACATCAATGCTTACACTTATCACAGGGAAAATGTTAGTGCGAGTCTTTGTGAGCCGATCTTTTTGTGAATATCTATGGTTTATTTTTTTTATGAATTTATTTAAAAATTGATTTATGATTTATTTTATTACAGCTGGTGGTTATGACTTTATCACCGACACATTTAAGCTGTGCACCCCTCTCAAGTCCAAATATGACCTTGGCCCCTTCATGTCGATGTTGGTGGAGACGTACACTGATCTTGCCATGGTCGACTACCCGTACCCGGCATCCTTTATGGCAGAACTGCCAGGCTGGCCAGTGGCGGTAAGGCGTGTATGCTGTTGTGTAGTCAATTTCCCTTAAGAAGAGCTTATACGACTAATTTTTTTTCAGTGCTGTATTTCCTTTTAACATTTTCAATTGTGGCATGTACCACCTACCACTTACCAAGCAGAAAGGTATTGCGATTCGTCGATTTTGCCTCTACTCTTTTACCTAGCTCAAACACTTAGTGTATTGCTATTTTGGCCTGTGCCTTACAAACTGAAGGCATTTTTAAGTGGGTATGATATTTTGGGATTTAAGAGCCTTGAACTTAAAGGGTTTGGGAGGAGGGGTGAAATTTACATTAGAACGAAACATGCCAAAATAAGAGCAAAGCATTAGAAGTTCAACGCTCTTAATTTATGTCTAATGGCTGCAGAAGAAGTCATTTTGATTCCTGCTTCCTCCTCCTCATCCCCTCCCTCTCTTCCCATATTCTCTGCAGGAGGCCTGTAGCTACCTTTCACAGCCCCTGGAAGGAAAAGACCTGCTGCGTGGCCTGTCGCGCGTCACCAACATGTACTTCAACTACACAGGAACCACTGACTGTGTACACTGGAACGGCAGTGGGGGTACACCCACCCTAGGCTATGAGGGATGGGACTATCAGGTAGGGCTAAATGGGATTTAAACCTATCAGGCAGACCACACCCACCCTGGGCTGTGAGGGATGGGATTACGAAGTAGGCTCAGGGCACACACTGGTAGCTCTGTTTGCATCATGCTGGACTATGACGCAGATGACTTTTGTTTGAATACCAACAAGGGCATACTTACACTTGTTCTCTTAGCAATTTTTTCAGGGCTTTCTGCCAGTCATATCGCAGAAGGATGTTACATTTGGAAGTCTCACCTCTAAGTCTTAATTTCACAGAGATTCTCAGAGAAATGAAAGGGTGGTTAAGCCCATAAGGAGACTCACAGAATTGGAAATTATAAGGGGAATCATCTTTTGTACGCTAGGTAAAGTTTTATGATAAGGGGAGGGGAAAAAAGAACATTTTCTATAAGACTCTGTGCATTAATCTTTAGATTTATTAGCTTTGATTTTAATGAAATGACAATAATTTCATTAATCTTTTCTGCAATGGTGACCTCTCGGTGTCCTCAGTCCTGTACGGAAATGGTGATGCCGATGTGCAGTAATGGTTCCGGAATCATCTACAACATCGACTGGAACTTCCAGCAGGTCAGTGATGCCTGTTACCGCAGGTACAAGACTCGGCCCCGGGAGAACTGGATCTCACTGGAGTACTGGGCCAAAGAGCTGAAGGCTGCGTCCAACATCATCTTCAGGTACATTCTTTGCTCATTCTCCATTTTCTTCATATTATTATTATTAGTAGGTCTTTATTGTATTATAGTATTATAATTGCACTTACCATTCTTATTACTGTTCCTATTATTGTAATCATTATTATTTTTATTGATATTTATCATTATTTTTATTAACATGAATAGTCATCACAATTTTCTATTTGAAATTTTCTTTTCAAGTTTTAATTGTTACTATCATAAGCGTCATAATGATTCATTTCATGATCATTGCACATTAACACCTTCCGGACTGGCCCCACACCCGCTGGTCCTATCCCCAGGACCGGAGCCGCCGCCTACATCCCTTGTAAATAGGGCCTACATGTACTCGTTTTGAAAACATTTTTTCACTTCTAATCAACTCAAACTGACTTCAACTTCGGTGAATCCGAAAGGGAAAGAACTCTTCTCTGCTTGAACAAGCAGTCGGAAAACATGGGTAGCTAGTTTTTAATAAACCTAGACTGGCTTGAATGAGTGGTATTGACATCGCGTAAATATATGTCAGTGGTCTGATTCGGTCGGCCGCAGTTCGTGTATAATAAGTATGTCGGTGGTCCCAAAGGTGTTAAAAAAGTCTATTTGGTGGTTACTAATATCAATGTTGTTATGCAAGCTTAATAAGATCTTTAATTATTTTTTTTTGCTCGGCAGCAATGGAATGTACGACCCATGGTCCAGCGGGGGTGTGCTGCAGTCCATCTCTGAGACGGTCGTGGCCATTCAGATCCCTCGAGGGGCCCATCACCTGGATCTGAGAGCCAAGAACCCCAAGGACACTCGAGAGGTCATTGCTGCTCGTGAACAGGAAATCAACATCATCAAGGGGTGGCTGGGACTTACACCGTAGTAGTTTCCAGGCTTTCGATGAATCATTAAAGTCGTTTTTGTGATTGAATGTTTTTACTAAGGCGGGGAATAGATAAAATAAGAACAAAACTTACCTTAGTGAAATGATTTTAGTTTTTTTAAACTATACCCCTTGAGTTTGATATGTTCTCTAGTGCTGATATGATCCAACAAAAGATAACTGTTTGTGGTGTTGCTAAATTTTGCCTATCTTTTAAATGCAAATGTTAAACTTTGTCTTAAATATTGATGGTAATAGGAAGTCCTGGTATATAAACTTAAAAAAGGGTTTAACAAGGTTATCTGATTTTTGTGGGGTTTTATTGGAGATTATTATGCTTAAGTCTTTCCCTTATTTTTTTATATCTTTAATTTGTATGATGATGCTAGCAGTTGCTAAATGTACTTTAGCGATGCAGTTTGAGTCATGGGTAGTCTCCTGTGACTGCAGTGGAGTGTTTCATTGTATTAGTGTTAAAATGCTCAATGTTTCATCTATTTGGATGAAACAATGTCTTTATGTTATTGAGAAACATAGTTATATACATTCCATTAACATGTTCATGTTTTGTCAATGAAAGAATGATATGCTGTGCCATAGGTTTCACTGGTGATGATAGAGAAAAACTTCAACCCATGTGCTGGATGAAGAGTCTTGGGGATGCCTAAACTAAAAGATATTTTTTTTGATGACTTCAATACTTCTTGGAACTCTGTCTGTCAGGCAGAGTGGAATTTTAAAAAGATTTTCAGTTTCATCTCTGTATTACACTGACTTATGCATTGATAAGTATTTTTAGTATGAAATATTCTAAACCTTTAGAGAGTTATGGAGCATACACATGGCTTGAATATATTGCTTATCAGTCCTTCAGAGATCAGGGCATGTCTCTTTGAGGGGCTTGTAGAGGGAAGAATTGCAGTAAATGACATCTCAATATTGATGCTTAGAGTTGAAAGTATTTGAATGCATTCTATCTGTGAAAGTTTCAAGGTTTTTTCTCAACTGATGTGCCTATTTTCTCATTAGTGGATTAATATGGATTAACGATATGCGGTGGTCTTTGCCAAAAAAACTCTTTCCCTTAACTTTCATTAAGTAAGTGGTTTTTGACTGGTTGACCTGACATGTCTGATTTCACATTACCAAAGCGAGAGTCGAATGTTTTTTTTTTTTTATAATGCTTAAATTTGTTTATGTCTCAGTATCAGTGCTTTGCTGTAGCAGTTTTAAAATAATACATTTTTTGCTAATGTGCAATTATTTCAAGTTTTATGTTGTAATTTTTTTGTCGTTGTCTTTGTTTACCTTAGTACTTAATAGAGACTTAAATTGTCTTGTGGGGGAAACGAGCTGCTGGTGGATATCTGACATTTTTTTGTTACTTTAATTACCCGTGTTTTTAAAAATGTTTTGTTGCTTATACCTTCCAAAATATGGTGCCCTGAAATAAACAGCAGTTCAATTCAAATCAAAGGTTATATTATTCTGTCATTATTACATCCTCATACTCATAGGCCTATCTGAACAAACAAGTACATTTGTTTGCATTTTTCCGAAACCCAAGACGGTTACTGTTTAATAATAATAGACAGCATTTGTATAGTGCATAGCCTCGCTCAACAGCAAGTTCTATGCTATTACCCAAGCAGACCTGAGAGCATTCTGAAGCAAACTCTACTTCTTGGGAAGCAAACAGTGATAGCAGCCATGATTTATAGGCGTTAAAACACTAACATACTGACAAGATCTTTCGCTGTCTATGGCCGGGCACCCATTTCCGCCTGGGTGAAGTGAGGAAAATTTGTGTAAAGTGTATTTCCAAAGGACACAACATCGGGCCCGCGGCTCGAACCCCCGATACCGCAACCTCACAATTACGAGTCCGGTAGCCTAACTATTAGGCCACCGATGCCACATGTTTAGTCACGTGTGTCCGTGGTGAAATGATTAGGCTCTGGAATTGATTCCCACATGGATAAGTTATTAATGATCTAAAACATAAACCTGGCCTTGTGAATGTGATGCAGTAGGCTAACAAACTTTGCTAACTAGTCTAGTACAGCTGTACCCCGGCAGCAAACCCACTCGTGCTCGCAAGCCCCTAGTTCAAGTAACAAGCCTCAAATCTCTAGGTCAAATCATCAAGTCAAATCACCAGCATGATAAGTTGAGTCTAGCCTAAGCTTCCAGTTCACACCAACTAGCAATCCACGAAGCCACTCGTGTCAGACCCCCCTCATCCTCCCCGCCATGCTTGCAATCCGCGAAGCCACTTACGTCAGAAAAAGAGAGAGGGGGAGAGAGAGAGACTCTGCTCACTGTGTCACTGCGCGGCGGGACACTAGAGCTGGAGTCTGCTCAATTAATTAATCGAATGCTTGCGAGCAGCGGACGGCCCTCAAGTCTCAAATCTCGCACGCAGCATAGCAAGACACTTGGGTCCTATGATTTGATTTGCCTGCTCGCAACCTGGCAAGACTGTCTGCGAGTCACAATATATCGGAAGTTCCCCCCGGTAGCGAGCGGGAGGCAAAGCAAAGCACAAGCCAGCTTGCAAGCCTCTGGCACAAGCCATCCGCTGCTTGCAAGCCTTCGATTAATCGAGCAGACTCCAGCTCTACTAACGAGCAGACGTTTGAGGCTTGAATCCAAACAGGATTTAGATTATCCTTTGTCCTTCCTGTAATATTTTTCCTTTCATTCTTGAATCCTGAAGATGGAAGATTCTTTGCTTTGCCTTAGAAAAAGCAGGCAGTGTTTCTAATAAGGCAATAAATTTAACACTGAAAAATCCCTCTATTATTGATCCCAACTGGAGAATTTATTTACAAAGGTATATAATACATACATTCATAAATACGTGCTTACATTAATCAATTCATTGATGTAACCATCTCATTTTTTGTTTGTTAGAGTTTTACGGCACTTGCAACACAATAAGGTCATATAAATGCTGAAGATTAGAGGTGTTACAAGGGAGTAACAAACACAAAAAAAGGAGGGGAGATAAAGACGATAGATGCTTGATAGGAAAGAAGGAGCAAACCACACCAGAGCACCTGCCAACCACCCACTAACAATCTCAGTCCCTCACCAGTAGAGACAATCTCAAACTGCATACACCGTTACTGGTCCCTACTAAAAAATTTATGAAACGTTAGATGAACATTCGAGAGAGAACAAAAACAATTAAATGTATGGGCCCCATCATCATAATTTTCCTGGAAGGGTAAGGAAGCGTAGGAAGAATAAAATTAGATTCTGATTTCTCTGACCCTTTGTCAGCAATAGTCATGTCTCTCCTCTATGAGATCTTTGTTTTACAATAAGAAAAACTTTATATAATCAGTGTGCTTTCATTAGCTTTTATCATGCATACATGCACACACCAAAAAATATATATTTATATACAGTCGAACCTGCCTGGACATCCAATTTCCATCCCCCTCCTGCGTTTTTCTATATATAATTTAACTGTGTAAAATGGGCACCTGTCCAACACGGCTGCTGCCACCCTATTTTATCAACATACGGCCATATTTACCTCCCTGAGACGGCCAGGATTTGTAAAAATCGACGCATTTTTCTCTGGCGCTGTAGACAAGACAAGCCCTCATAATTCTTCCACTGGTCGTTATTGTCAGTCCCTCTAATGGACGAAACGATCATGTTGCTAAGGCCACTCCCGGTGTTTACCCAAGTTGACCAATTATGGGTAATAAAATATTTTCAGCTGCTGGTAAGGGAAGCTTGTTATCTGTCATAACATTATAAGCTCCACCCACAACTCAGTCTGTAAACCCAGTCCATAACAATGGAGGTTAACACAAACTCGTGACAGAAGTGTCGCTCGTCCGCAGAGTGGTGGTGACCCATTTGTTCGTTTTACATGCACTATAGCACTTGGCCTTCCTTGTCTGGCACGGTTTCGTTTCGACCTTTCACGGTATAATTATTTTTCAAAAAATAAAAAAATAAAACTAGCAACAAAAGGTCCCACAAAAACTGTTCTATCCCCTCCCCAATTAACTTTAACTCATTCGCTACGCCGAGCCGTGGGGGGGGCGGCGCGGCTAAAGTGCCGTCAGTACGCTAAGCCACCCCCGGTGGCTCGAGAACCGATCTTCAATTAATATAATGTTGACTTCCGGGTCTAGCATTTCCACTGAAAATCAGAAGTTTAGATTCAGTTTTGAAATGCGATTTCGTAGTTTATTCGACTTTGTTTCATCGCGATGCCAAAATTATAGCCCGGACACCAGTCTTAGTAATTTTACACAACAAAATCTATCATTATTTTGCCCACTAAAGAAATGTAGGACTCTTTTTTATAATATTGATATGATTGGACTCATATTGCCAATGCACTGTTATTGAGAAATCAATATTTTTGAGTGCTAGACTAGATCTAGATCTAAACTGTCAAAATATTTTTTTCTCCCCAAAATCACTACATTGTACTTTTTGATGAAATTACAAAAAAAGTGCCTCTCAAGACATGTATAGGTTTATTCCAAATGCAATTCTGAATAATTCCATATAAGATACGAGTGTTTTTTTCTTCTGTTTGTGATCGTTTTTAAAGATGATAAAATTTTTTATTTTTTTCAATATCGGATGTTATGATCCAAATGTACAAACATGATGAAATGTATGTAAATAACTGCAAACTTTTCAATATTTTCCAGTTCTATATTCATTTATGGTTAATTTGATGTATCATTTGACTAAGTGAAAACATATTTTTTGAGTTTCACCAAAGATTATTAATTTTTTATTTTCAAATTTTATCCGCATCCAATCAGTATTGTGTTGCATAATCGCCTCTTACAGGAACCAAAGTTGAAAAATACATAAATAAACATTACAAATGTATTCTACAAACCATTCTGAAAATATTGGTATATAATACGTTGATATTTATTTGAATTTGTGGCCCTAAAGACCTTTTAACTGCCCACTAGTCATCATCTCATTCGCCCTCCCGAAAAAAATTCGTCCACGAGCCGAAAATAAAACGTAGCGAATGGGGTAAAAAAAACATCCAAAATCAAAAAAAAAAACCAAACCATTTTAACGAGCCCTTCGGCAGTCCTAAGCCTACAACCACATCCAGAAGGGACCTCAGAAGTAAATGGTTTGTTTCCTTCAGTTTAATCAGTCCTGTGAATGACGGCCACTTTCCTCCTCGACAATGCATGGCTGTCTTACACAGGTTCGACAGTATAAATACGATAGAATTATATTAATATATCACAATCAATCTCTCTCTCTCTTTCTCTCCATCAATCTCTCTCTCTCTTGCCATAAATCTCTTTTCCTCCCTCACTCTCTTTCTCAGTCACCCAACATATTAAAAAAGTAGTGGCTTAAATTTGCCATTTATCCTTCCTCAGCAATCAGTAAGTTTTGCAGAAATAAGCGTGCTGTTATGATCTTTGTGCATGTCTCTGGATGTGCAAGGAAAAGCAAAGTCTAAATTACAGTATAATTGCATGTATTTTGACAGAAATACTGTTAGGTGAAAACCATCGTACATGAACTTCCACTGCCTATTTGTACTTCTTTTTTTGACAATGGATTACACCATCAAGTTGATGGCCTCGGGCACAAACCATCTGACTTTGAATTTCCCTTTGATGCTTTTATGCTATAAATAGCAAGGAACCTCCATTCAGAGGGTTGGCACAAAGGGGTGTGAATGTCCCCTGGGGTCAAAAGCAGAGTGGTGTCAATGCTGGAATGGAGTCAGGGCCAGACTGGTGGCGGTGCACAGAGTCTCAGCTCCTCGCATACCTCCAGCCTTTGTGTAAACGAGACGACAAAATGCGGAGCAGAGAGTGGCACTTCTCAAATATGGCCATGTTGGAAATTTCGTAGGGGTCCAAGTCGCGGAGGTACAGTTCCCGCCCGTAAATATCATTCCATTTGATTTTGTAAGATTTGTGATCAAACCCGACCCATTCGACATAGTGGAACTGTGGGGTGAGCATGCTGTAGCCCATGATTCGAATGTCTCGCAGCAACGGTTTGTCGCTGTTTTCCTGAGGGAGAACAGACGGTCGAGGGAATTGACTAAACGCCGCTTTCTTCCACTCAAACTCCAGATCAGATCTGAACACAGGACGAAAAGATGGGGAGCAATTTTTGGCGGCAATGTGGAGGGCGTTCAGTTCTGATGTAAATTCCAAAACTCCATCATTAATGTTGATGGCATTTGTTATAAATTCTTTCTGTGATTTGCGATGAGTCATGACTGGTCTGTTATCATCTCTCTGATGATGATTGTTTTCTACGATGGATGTTTTGACGTGTGACCTTTCAGGGGAGGTAATATTGCGGATGAGTGGCATGAGACTAGTGCCTTCAGTACACAACAGGACTTTAAACGGGTTGATGGGGCACAGAGGAAGCATAGGGAGTCCCACTGCCTCTGCAAGAGTTGGGAATAGGTCAACATGCTCAACCAGCGCCGATGTTCTGAAGCCTGTGGCAGCCTTGAATTTGCTCTGCGACCTTTTCACTCGTTCTTCCGTCAGTTGGGCAATGTTGTCAAAACCTCGACGCAAAAGAGACTCAGAAGAGTAAGAGACCTCTTCCAGGGTCTTAAATATTTCTGTTGTTTGTAATTTCTCATCTGTTACATTTGGAATTGCTTTCACATGTAATTTCCTCTCATTCGAAAAGAAGGCTAATTTCGTCTCTGAATTCACATCACGTCTGTGTTCAAACGGGTTAAGAAATGGGAAAATCTTCTCATCCCCGATTTGATGCCGTCGATGAGTGAGGCCAGGCAGGTACATGATGAGTGGGACTCGTGTTGCCACATTGAACACACTGTACTTTGACCACTCCTGATGCTCACCCAGTGACCAGCCTGTAGGGACAACAGTTGTTCATTTATTTATCTGTCCCATTGATTTTATGCAAAAAAAATCTGAAATTATGCAAACTGAGCCCAAAAATGTGAAATTATGCGATTCTGTTCATTTTAACAAAGAATGATAAA